CAATCCTGGCAATGCCATCGGTGAGCAGCAAGGTGGTCTCGAATGACTCTGACAGGCGCAATTTGAGTTCCGGGCGAACTTTAAAGCGATCGACGATAACTTCTATCGTATGTTTTTTACGCAATTCTAGCTTGGGTGGGTCGTCGAGTTCATACACCTCGCCATTGATACGGGCACGTACAAAGCCCTGGCGTTGTAAATTACCAAGCAACTGCACATGTTCGCCCTTGCGATTAACGACAACCGGCGCCAGCAACATCATTCGTTGATTTTCGGGAAGCTCAAGAACGTGATCGACCATCTGGCTAATGGTATTGGCTTCGAGTGGTAGCGCGTGTATCGGGCATTGGGGCGTGCCGACCCGGGCAAAAAGGACGTAGATAATCGTAAATTTCGGGTGACGTGCCAACTGTTGAACGCGGATTATGCGAGGTGGTTTTCTGCTCGATCGAAATGGCCGGTGATAAACCTTCGATATGATCGATATCGGGTTTCTCCATGACGAGAGAAACTGACGCGCGTAAGTCGAAAAGTCGATTCAACATAGCGTCGCTGACCTTCGCAAAAATAGTATCAAACGCTAACGACGACTTACCCGACCCGGAAAGCCCGGTGATGACGATGAGTTTGTCCCGCGGCAACGTGGATATCGATGTTCTTAAGGTTGCTGCGTTCGGGCGCCGCGAATACTAATTGATTCCATCGGATAAGTGTCGAGCCAAAACGATAATTATAGCGGCTGTTGTTATTGTTTGCTTGGGTTACTTGTAATAAACGTGGTTCCTCAGAAGGGTTATGGGCCAATTATCAGTCTTGCTTAGAAATAATAGTAACTTAAAACTTGTCTCGCTTCGAAGGGAAGGCGCCAGTAAAATAACGAGGCAATGTTAATGAGGTTAGTTAGAAATCATGAGAAAAGTGCGGTAAAACCGGGATTAACAAAAGTTGCGGTAATAGGGCTGGGCTACGTTGGCTGCCGCTAGCATCGTTATGTGCCAAGCAGGGATACGAAACTATCGGGCTAGATAGTAATGGCGAAATAATTTCAGGAGTTTAAATACAGGGCAATGCCATATTCGAGGATAAAGCCGTCGGAGCAGTTACTTGAAGAGGCGCAGGCTACTAAAAACTTTCTACGACTGATGATGCTCGATCAGATCGCCGATAGCGCCGTTATTTTGATCTTTGTTCCAACACCTGTCGATGCCAGTAATCAACAGACTTGGCACATTGGAAAATGCGGGTTAAGGGCTTATTTCGCCCTATTTATCTAAGGGTGATTTGTCGTAGTTGAGTCACTGTTTTTCCGGGAACCTGCGAGCAAGTTGTACTGCCGTTAATAAAGGAGATTTCCGGTTAAGTGGCGCTAACGATTTTATCTGGCGCATTGTCCTGAGCGAGTGAACCCCGGTGATCCGTTTTGGCCTCACGGTAATATTCCGCGGGTAATAGAGCGCTGTAAACTCAAGAAGGCGTTACAGCTGCGGCTGGAGTTTTACGCTTCTATTTTAGGCGGTAAAATTTATCATGTTGGTGACGTAAAAAAAGACCTGAGCCCTAAATTCACCCGCGTCGATGGAGACCTTAGGATATCTCAGGTCGCTTTGGGTAGCGTTACCATTATGCAGTCCATACGTGATGCGGAAGCTGTCAAGGCTATGGAAAACACAGTGCGCGACGTCAATATTGCGTTTGTTAACGAGCTTGCAAAGATAAGCGATGTTCTCGACCTGGATGTTGTCGATATCATAGATGGTATGGCAACCAAGCCTTTTGGCAAAGGTCCCTTTTACCCAGGTGTCGGAGTCGGTGGGCATTGTATCGCCGTCGATCCCGAGTGGCTTAAGGCTGCGTCACAAAAGGCGGGCTATATGCCGGAAATTATCAATCTGGCGCGTGCCACGAATAATGGTATGCCGGAATACACCGTGTCGATATTGCAAAACCTACTCAATGACTGCGGATACCCACTGAAAAATACCGGAATAGCGATACTTGGCGTGGCCTATAAACGCAATGTGGATGACCCGAGAGAGTCACCTTTTTATAAAGTTAAAAGTTTGCTGGAAAATAAGGGTGCCAATCTCCATATTTATGACAGTTGGTACAACAAGGAAAATACCGTCGAGTCTTTAAAAGAAGCGATAGAAAATTCCAGGGCAATTTTGATTATTACCGAGCACGCCGACATTTTGGAAAGCTTAGAAAAAATGGATATTGCGAACTCGAGTATAGAAGTCGTTGTCGATGGCAGAAACTGCTTAGATGCAGAGCTAGTGAATCGCTGGAATATACTCTATCGTGGTATTGGGCGCCGGTCTGCCGCGGATGGACGAAAAGCAAATGATTGATCGTTTAGCCGAGATGGCGGATCTACAGTAGTTGTGGCATTAGTGCTTAATGTTTTTCGGGTACTCTTCGTCGTAGCAGGGGCAGTCGATCTGTATATCGAAGTTTAGTAGAGAATTAAGATTGAATGAATCGTTTTTAACAAGTGAGCAACATCATGAGATAAATAATTATCAGGTAGACTTCACGCCTCGTTCGGTACTCTTTCTTTTTCAATCACAGTCGCACAACCAGGGCTGCGCCGGTCCAATATCAACAATGCGGCCACCGTGGAGCAAAGTTGCCGAGAGCCTGTCATACAACTGGTCATTGGTATCACTTAACGGCCGAAGCTGGTAGTGGCTGTATCCGCTAGCTTTGCTAATGGCAAGTCTTCAGTGCGGCCACAGTTAATTGTCAATTGCTTAAGGGGTATCGGTTCCAACGGCAACATCTTCTTTCGAACATAGAATTAAGCACAGCGGATGATCACCTCCATAAAATAAGGCCTCGATCTGAGATACAGCTCTGCTCAGCTAGATGGGACAGCTTGAGTCTGAACTCCGATCCTGCATTCAGAACTTTCAGCACGCTCCGGGCCGTGGTTTTTTGATGACACGCCCTTAAAAAATGGAGTCGGATTCGGAGACACAGAACAATGCCCCACGTCCTTGCGCTTCGTTAACTGACAGTATCAGTAATACCATATTGCGCCGGACAGTTTTTGTAATGGCGACGAATAGCGCACACTGATGTCGGAGGTCAGCATGGCAAGACGGCGTACTTAACGCAAAGCGATCATCGCGTACGTACTCTCCGGCAGTGATCCGGAAGTCAAACTATACGAGCCCAGCGGGCAGTGGCCGCCGTGGTTTGGGTGAGATGTCAGCGTTGGCGGACGGAGGGATCGAGTCACTGGAAAGACAAAGCAAGAACAGGCGACCAGGTCGGAGAAGACTGAATTCGGCACCTCGGATTTGTCGCATTGTCTTCAACGAAAATCGCCGAAATTGCAGCCCAGTACCTGATAGAAAGGCGTCTCAGGCGCTATTTCGAAGGTAAAATCAGACCCGCAAATGGCTAATGAGTCAAGTGGCGCAAATATGAGTCGCTAGTTCCACCGAAATTGGTCGCCAATATTATGCAAAATGCCTTGCCTGGCGGAGCTAGACGCCAGGGGTGCAAGTTTGTTAGCAGGCCGTTTGCATGTTCGAGCCAGCTCTTCGCAGCAGCCGAAGACAAGCACGCAACAGGGCCATGGGGCCTCAGCAACAACATCGCAACAGCCCGCAGCGAATCATTGACATGCCGCACGGACTACGGCGCCGATCGCATGAATGGTTTTTGACGATTAGTTCCTTTTTAAAAAACACAGGTCAATCCTCTACTTCAACTTCTGCCGGAAAAACAATGACCGGCCAGTCTTACCGACGTTCGATTCAACGGACGACGTGCCGACCGGCGCTGCGTGCTTATTTGATCGCGGTGGTACAGCAATTGCGTTTGGCAGGCGCCCAGGCAGTCATGTCCTGGTTACGGTATTTAAAGCCGAGAGGATGCGAAACCGGCTGAGGCACCGAGTTAAGGCAAAAAAAACGGGCGC